TTCGGTAGAATTTATAGAATATTGTTAAAAATTATGGTCTATTACCAACATATATATATATATATATATATATATATATATATATATATATATATATATAGCATTATATAATATATATATATATATATATATATATATATATATTATATAATGCCTATATGTGAGAACAGTAAAGGTGAATGTTAGGTTAATGTTAACGCTTAGGTAATAACATCTATATAATTGATATATAAGACCTATATTTTTGGATATTTTTTTTGAGATATATAAGATATGGTCCTTCCAATTTAAATTACCCACAATAATAATAATAATAATACCTAAGAATGTAATACTTCCTCTTACTATATTCAAAGTATACAATTACTATAAAGTATTTAGAGAAAATTTGAATTAGTTACAATTTTACGGACCGATGAGAATAACACTATTTTTGGATACGTTAATGTTTAAACTGTTGCAAGACACTTGTCTAGACGAATGAAGAAGTTCAGAACTCACGAGGGTTTTGAACCCTAGCGTGACGATATAACGATAATAGAGTTTTAGTATAACGTAGATGATGATAATGCAATGATGGTGTGATGATGACGTAACGATGATATGATACAAGGATGATATGGTGATGATATAAGGATGATATGATGATGGTATGATATAAGGAGGATATGATGATGATACAAAAATGATATGACGATGATATGATGATGATAGAAAGATGATATAACGAAGATATGATGATGATACAAGGATGATATGATATGATGATGATATAAGGATGATATGATGATGATACAAGAATGATATGATGATGATACAAGGATGATATGATGATGATACAAGGATGATATGATGATGACGATTATGTCATGTTAGTATACTAAAGATGATATAATGATGATATATTGACGGTACAATGACGGTACAATGACGATGATGTACTGATGATATACCAATAATGTGCTAATGATACAATGATGATGAGATGATGACTTAATGATGATACTGCTGATTTAATGTAAGATAAGAGAGCAGGCAACGCCGAAGCTAATGAAGATATGTATCATTATGTGTATCATGTATCAGAGTTTGTATCATTAGCCGTGTATCTTTATGTTTGTTGAAAATAATAAGTAAGATGATGATTTACAATGATGACGATGATGATAATATGCAAATGATTAATGATGATAATGGTGATATCAAATGTTGAAAATTTATTTGCGAAACTTTGAAATGCTTTAGCAATGATCGTGGTGACGTTAATGATGAAGATAAGAATGGGTGAGATGATGAAGACGATGACGATTGTGCTAATGATGATAAATGATGAAGATGAGGATTGAAAATTTTGAAAATTTATTTGCGAAAGTTGCAACGCTTTAATAGTGCAGATGATTGTGGTGATGTTAAATTACAGTGATAATAACGATGATGGTGAGGGTGATGATGTGGTTTTCATGGCACTACTCGGATGAACAGATAAATAAAAACAACAACAACAACAACCACTATATTAACAGCAACGACATAATGTTAGTGTGCGTGTTCGTGTGTGTGTGTCAACACATTTGATTATTTTCTACGATGAGATGGAGTGTTGTTGCTTTCGAACCCAGCATCTTCAACTCTGGACCAAACGTTTCCTTCTCACACCACAACCCAATTTGATAAAAAAAAATTTTGTTGTTGTTGTTGAATAGTTAGGTGCCAATGATGCTGTTGATTGGAGGAAAATGTTTTTATGAAAATGATGATGATAAAGATAATGATGATGATTAAGATGATGATTACGATAATTTTGACGATGATTGTAATGATGATGATGATAATGATGATGATTGTGATGATGTTGATGATGATTGTGATGATGATGTTGGTGATGATGATGATGATGTTTAAGGTGTTGATGATTGTGATAGCAGAAATTGTTGCTTGCTGAAACTTACGATGAAGATGTTGTAGCTGCTGATGAAACTGTTAACAAGATGGAAGAGGAAGATGAGGATGATGAAGATGAAGATGAGGATGATTGTGAAGAAGATGAAGATGAAGGTGAAGAAGATGAAGATGAAGTTGGTGGTGGTGGGGATTAAGTTCACGTTGATTTACAGGTCCACAAAAATAACATTCAAGGGCGATTCAATGCATTGCATTGCAAATACATTTCTATACGCGGTTGTATGCTTTTGTATGAGTTTGTATGCCTGTTTTTACAAGTTTGTATGTTTGTATATATGTCTGTATGTTTGTGTATCAGTTTGTATGTTTGTATACACGTTTGTATGTTTGTATACAAGTTTTTGTTTATATACATGTTCGTATGTTTGTGTACTAGTTCGTTTGTTAGTATACATGTTTGCATACATGTTTGTATGTTTATATATATGTTTTTATGTTGGTAAACGTGTTTTTATAAATAATTGTATTGATGTTTATATGTAAATGTTCATGTTTGTGCATAAGTTTGTATGATAGCTTGTGTATACATTTCTACAGCTCTTCGATAACTTTGTGTATATTTTGTATCTCTGCATAAACTGTTTGTATGTTTGTATCAATGTTTGCTCTATGTTTGCTGTCATAAATTATCATTTTTATATCAGTTTTTTTAGGTTGCAGTAGCAGGTCCAAAATTTCACGAAAAGTCTTAGGCGACTTTTTATTGTATGATCTTCTATTTTGATCAGTTCAACATGGAAGGTGTATCCAAATTACTGTTTTTTGGTATGACAAGGAAAGCAAGCATCTCGTTAAACTCATCCAGATTCGTCATTGTTTGAGGTAGAGTATCTAATTTTGGGACGTATAATTATACTAAAATATGTTACTACATTTTTGTTAAGGTATTCTTTCATGGTCTGAAGGGGTTGCATCCGCCTGGATTGCCACTGATGAAATTTGTACTTGCATTGTATGTATATGTATGTATATTTGTGTGTTTGTATGTTTGAGGACAGTTCGTGTCATGTTTGTATGTATGCCAATTTTTGTGTTTGCATGTTTGTATTAACGTTTATATAACGAGGCGAAAATACAATTCCATTTCATTTTTATTTCATTTAATTTCAAACACAAGTAATGTTGCTTTGGTGCTTATGCTGAAATAACTTGCACATGAATGTTCGTATAATTTTGTCAGACGTGTGAATTTATAATTTTGTACATTTATTCTATTGTATGTTCTTAATTTTCATTTGTACAAATTAAAAAATAATCTGTTTGTACCTTTGTGCGTGCGTGAACATGTTTGTCCATGTTCTACTGTCTGCTTGTTCATGTTCAGCCGCCTGTTTGTTCATGTTTAACTTTTTTTGTATTTTTTTAAAACACGTTTTTCATGTTGTTGCAGTTGTTTATGTTTATATTGTTATTTTTTTTTTTAATGCAAACATGATGTTTATGACGTCGATATGATATGCATGGCATTGACTTTAAATTAAATGTTTATCTCAGCCGCATATATTAAGAGTTTGTTCTTTTTCTATTTTTCCGCCGTTTTTGTTCTCTGTCTTGTTTTAATTCGATTTAATTCATGTTTCGATAGGGTAGAAGTTGTATTTTCTAGTCATTTTAAAATTAAAACACGTTTAAATGTTTGTTGTAGACTAGGGCAGACCCGGACAACTTCAAGGGTGGTATGTGGCCAAATCCACAGTTTTTTGCAGAGAGGACTCAAGTTTCGTAGTTGGTGATCTTATTGCTTTTTTTTTGCTTATCGCACATTTTTTTTTTATTTTTGATAATTAGATATTTAGTGTTTTTATGTATGAAACAAAATTCGTGAAATTTTGGACCTGCTACTGCAAGTTGGCTGAACTTGAGAACGATAACAAAAAGAAGTTGTTGAACTGTTGATAGCTGGAAGACTTGCTTGAAATCCACCACTGGTTGTATCCATCTGGTTGAATGTTTCTAGAATAATTTTCAATTCATTTCGCTATAAAGTTGCTGAGTTTAACATTTTCTGTGGGCAAAGTTTGCATTTTTATTCTTTCGTAATGTTGATTACTTCACGAGAAGTTATAAGAGGAAGTAGTTTTTGTTTCCAGTGTATCCTCTCTAAGCTATTGATTGTGCGCGTGTGGGACAGATGTGACTGCCTGCCTTTAATGCTCTTCCTTCCAACTCAGTATTCTCTAATTTATTTTCATTTATTGCAGGCAGTTGTTTTCCAGCTATGTTTATGTTCTTATTAGAAAATGTTTATGCCATTGTTTATTGCTCTAAGTACTTTATAGCCTGCTTCTCGTTCATTCCATCGATTTCCTATGCATTCGCTCTAGGAACGTATGTGGGTATGGTTCATACACGTATGTGTTTATGTTTATGTATGTATGTACGTATGTATGTGTGTGTGTGTATGCATGTACGTATGTATGTGTGTACGTATTGGTCAAATCTTTTTGATGTTTTTATAAATTAGCATAAAGATTAAACTGTGCAAATAAAGATATTTTCAGTTTCGTCCTAAACTAGCAGTCAAGTTTAATGGTTAAGATTTAAAAATAAATACTAAAATACTGTCGCAGATATCATTGCAAAAACCGGAAAAAGACAGAAGATAGAAGAAGATGGAGGGGAGGATGGAGAGAAGATATTGCCGTCATGGGTTGGCAGACAGCAGATGATGATGGTGACTGTGTGTAAAATGTACGTAATACATTTTTAAATTGAAATCACTTGAGTTCCATCCAGAACAAGATAGTTGCAAGTAGATTAGCACATTCTAACACCGCAAAATAGATCGACATAAATTTTCCACAATAACCACCGCCATCGGTGATAATAGCATGGGACTTTTATTGGAGTGTCAAAGAAACGTTTACTCCTTTCAGTGCACAAAATAAATAATGCAACTCGTTACATGGCCAGAAACATTTGTTAGACAGACAGATACACACACATCACGCACACACACACACACACCACACACATACAAACACGCACACACACACACACACACACACACCGACAAATGTTAGACACACAAACATATGTTAGACAAACACAAACCCACACACACACACACACACACACACACACACACACACACACACTGGCCATTATAGATTTCACACAGTTCTTTCTGCTTGTGTCAATGCATTCAATAAATTTTTTGATTGCGAAATAAAAAAAAATTTAAAATTTAAAAAAAAACTCAAAACACATGCATCACTACGACAGGACATTTTAAAAAAGCAAATTTCATCATCGGATTTTAACGAGACTGAAACAATCCACCAACAAACATCTACAGAATAAAAAAATTCAATAAAAAATTTTTATGAAACAACATCCAACAACAACAATCAACACACAACATTCTTATCAACAACAATCAACACACAACTTTCTTCTCAACAACAATCAACACACAACTTTTTTCCAACAACAATCAACACACACCATTCTTCTCAGCAACAATCCACACACAACTTTCTTCTCAACAAATAATCCACACACAACATTCTTCTCAACAAACAATCAACACACAACATTCTTCTCAACAATTGATCCAAAAGCCAAGATCAACTAAACTTTCAAAATGATTTCATTTGTTTGCTTTCACAGACATTGTTTTTCATACAATTTATTCACAGCAAACCATCTTTGCAAACATTTCTGTAAAAGTATCTTTTCATTTGAAAAATGAATAGTATTCGTATCGAACAAGAAAACTAACTTTAAGAAACTTGTTTTCATAAAAGCTTTTTTGAAATACAAAACGTCGGAGGTTTCTGTGTTAGAACCATATTTTCAAAAATTATGTACAGGCTTGTGTGTGTGTGTGTGTTTGCGTGTGAGTGTGAGTTGTGTGTGTGTGTGTGAGAGAGAGAGAGAGAGAGAGAGAGAAAGACAGAGATAGGAGAGAGAGAAAGAGAGAGAATCATCTTTATTGTGTTTACTTGAGTCATTTTTGTGGAACGTCAAAATAAATGTTAGAAACTTTAATTAGCAATAACCCTTATTTTCAGAACGTTTCATTTTAAATTATTTCAAGCACTTGTCGATGTAAAATGTTACGAAACATTTTTTGCGTACACTTTGAAATAATTACCTAAACACAATCTCCACTCCTGGCG